AAAATATGAAAGCAGCATGAAACAGATGGGCAATGTTAGTTCTTCAATTCTCACAGGTTTAACAACAAGCATAGACCTTGTGTTTGGCATTATTATTGATGTGTTTCAAAAAGGTGAAGGGAAGACAGCATCTGTACTAGCTGTAGAAGTGCTTTCCTAGATTAATTAGATTAATCTCAGCTGGAGAAACTCTAGCTGGTAGCTCTGTTACTCACATAAATGACTAAATCTTTATTTAAGCTTCCCAAGCATTTTTATGCAATTATGTCTTGTAGTAATCAACTTCAGACTTTAAATCTCAGTTGTATGAATAAAATCCTGCTTGTTCAGTTTATTTCATTTTTATGAAATATGAACCTTGTTTTTATGTTCCACAAGCAAACAGGGAAGCACTCCTGAGCTTCTAGGTACTGTTTATTATTTGATATGCCCATCACATCACATCTTACAGAGCTCTTCTGTTAACTAAACAACCATAATGTGTTCGTTCTTTACTCTCAGGGAATTTTTTTACTCATTCCTTCCCCAGATCTTCTTTTTCAGTTGTTTTCTTTTAGATGGTATGAAATAGGTGACCTGGAGGAACTACCATTGCTTTGAATTAGAACATAAATTTTTTTTCAATATTTTTCTGTAACCTGCTCAGAATTAGTTGTTATCAGTATGGTGTGGTAGTCAATTAAAGAGTAATTTCTTTCTTTCCTTAATGAAACTAGGTATTTGACGGTTGGTTTCACCAACCACAACCCCACCATTTCTAGATCAGTGTTTCAAGTCCAGCCTAGATCAATAGTTACAATAGAAAGTTACAAAGTCCTGGCTGCTGTTTGTAGCAGTGCATGCAAAACTTTTTACAGATTGTTCTGGATTTCAAGGTTTAGAACTGCTTTTTGATCTTCTTTCCTATGACTCTTTGACCTATGTAAGGGACATGAGTATGTGACCTCTAGAAAAGTAATTTAATCCCTATGAGTAATTCAAATTCTAACCTTCTGATATATGTATCTTGTGTCCAGTCTTGCTTTTATCTGGCACTGGCAATATAATCATCTAGCTTTGCTCATTCTTACTGAGAGTTCTCAGAATCTTCTTTAGATGAAATAACCTTCATTACTTGCCACTTCATATTACTAATAAATATTGTTACACCTGCTAGGTACCGAATGGTTGAACATTTCAATTTTAATCCCCTGTCAGGCTGACAACTGGTTATTTATTCCTGCTTTTTAGCTCGTGAGTAATCTAGCCCCATGACAGAGTTTAATATGTGAAATCTATGACTATGATCTTCCATAACAGGCAGCTGTGCTGGACTATATCAAAGACGCACTAATTTCCACATTAACACTCCTCTTCCAGGTTGCCTTTGTCTCTTTCATGATCTTCCTTGTAGCCAAAAGAGGTGGGGAAAGGAAACTAGTCTTGAACTTGGATATATTATTTTTCACAGAATCACAGGATATTTCAGGCTGGAAGGGACCTCTGGAGGTCCCAAGTCCAACCTCCTGCTCAAAGCAAGGTCAGGTATGAGATCAGACCACGCTGCTCAGGGCTTGAGCCAGTCGCATCTGGAAAATCTCCAGGAACAGAGACTGCACAGCCTCTCTGCTGCTTAATTTAGAAACCTTCTTTTACCCCATTCAGTAACATCAAAGAGGAACACGGATGGTAACAATAATTGAAACTAAATACTTGAACCTCACTACTTTTAATCATTGTGAGCCTTTCCAGTGAGTTCAGTGGGTGCAGATTTACGTATGGAGTGAATATGAATTGAGCAAAATTTTCCTCCCTGCAGAGGGAATATCTTCAAGTAGTGCATGACCTCTCAGTCTAGATATTATAAAGACACACATAGACTATTATTAAAGTTATTTAATCATTCTTTTTCACTTGTAAAATATATGGAGCAACTTCTAACTGTTCTTTCATCCTTCAGGCAGTTTCAGTTTGACATTGTTATCCAGGCAAACAAAGGAAGCTAGAAATGGTTTCACAGGCAATAGCAACAAGTGTAAATTAAACTGTTTTTTCCAATCTTTTCTCACCTGTCTACACCTCTGAGCTTCTTGGGCCAGCTATTATATTAGTGACGCCTGGCCCTGCCACTGAGTGAAGAGTTTAAAGGTTTCACCTGCTCCCATTTGTTGGTTGCTGCTCTGGTTTTTTTTGTGAATAAAACAAGTTGGAGTAGCACTAGCGTAGGCTGAGAAAGTTGTGTATATGAAATCAGTGACGAGGAGAGTGCTGCTGGTCATTGCTTGGTGAATGGTTTGAAGACAGCACAGGACTCTTCTGAATCTGAAACATGATGACTCAGTTTATTATTTGCAAAAGTGCTTGGATTTCTGTTGTGAGCTGGTTCAAGAGATTTGGATCATGAAATGACTGTTTCAATTCATTTGTGTAGCTGGGGATGTGCCTAGCAGGAAAATCCGGCAGTTAAGGTATGGAATTTCAAATCTGGTGTTTGAACAGGCTTGCCAGGAGGAAAAATGTTTTCTGGAAATCTGACGTGGAGTCAAAACAGAATCTCACTTACTTAACATGTTTAAATATAAACTGCTAAACTAAAGAGTTTTTGTGTTTTAATCCGTCTGCCTACAGAAACAAGGTTTTTACTATTTAAATGTATTTAAATAGACTTTTTATTTAAAAGGACTAGCTGTCTTTTGTACTATAGATGTAGAAAGTCCTCCATTCTGAATATATCAAAATTGCATTGCTCTTAGATTTGCCAAGTTTTCGCACTGATTGTGTTGAATATTTCTTCTCCCATGAGCACTTAAAGATAGGCCTGTATCTGGCAGGTTAATGCAACATGATGTACCGCTGGCCTTGCTCCTCTACAATCAGTGGAGCTGTCCTCTAGCTGCCTGTGGAGGACCGAGTTATTAGCACCATGCTTTAAACTGAGGATAATCACATAAAAGAGTGCTACTAGAAGGCACACTCTTCACTATGATTTTGTACTTTCATTTCTCGTCTGTAATATGGATGTATGTATCATGCACATCTCCAGGTATGTGCTCCCAAAGCGGCAGCATCCTATGTTCTGGAAAAAAGTATTGAGAAATTTGTTCCCCTTCTGGCTTAAGTTAGCCCATGACTTTTGCTTGTTGTAAAAGCAGTTCAGAATAACTTATTCTGAGATCTGAGAGAGGGTTATGAGTGTATCAAGTTGCCTTGGGGGCTCACAGATTGGACTGCTTTCTGCAACGCGATATACCCTGCTGTAGCTGCCTCCCAGTGAGAGCCCTGCCTCGGACAGGCAAAGTCAGTGGAGCACATGTTGGCGAAGATCCCTTAGGTAGGAAAGGCTCTATGGTATATATGCATTTGTACCAAGTATAAGCCACTGTCTGAATTAATCACAGAGAGATGAGCACAGATCTAACTTTATTGCTTGAATGTTCCTGAATTTTACAGTTACAGCATCTAGAATATATTTGATGCTACATACAGATGTCAGGTGGATTCGTCAATATCTTTTCTGGTGACAGTAGAAATATATAGCCTATTTAATGGTGCAAAACCATAGCAGGCATTCACACAAGATTGTATTATACACGTATCAGTTTGTTATAAAGCTGAATTTCTACTTTTCCTCGGTTTTATTCTCAGTAAAGTACTGATGAATTTTAACATTCCAATTCTTAGTTTTTATTCTATTAACTTGTGGGAA